CCCTCGTATATGCTCTCATTCATTCGCTCTCACTCATTCTCTCTCTCTCTCTCTCTCTCACACTCTCTCACACTCTCTCACTCTCTATTTCCGTCTCTGTCTCAGTTTCTACTTTTCTTCTTCCTTTCGACTTGGTTTTGCTTACAATAATCTTCATTTAATAAGTCCTCGATTTTCCTCCTACCCTTACCTCACATTTCCTCCTCTAGTGCTCCCCCTCCGATAGCATATACTATCGGTATTAAACATACTCCCTTGCTTTTCCTCTCTTTGCACTGTCGCCTCTTATTCCCCTCGCCGCTTTCTCTCACTCTCTCTCTCTCTCTCTCTCTCTCTCTCTCTCACACCCTTTCAACCGCGCGGCTGTACTGCATTCGCCATGAAAGCCCGTACTTCCATCCCCTCTGAGCTTCCACTGCTCCCTCTCTATTTACCTGTCTCTGTCTCACTCTCTGTTCCTCTCTGTTTCTCTCTCTCTCTCTCTCTCTCTCTCTCTCTCTCTCTCTCTCACACTATATATATATATATATATATATATATATATCTATCTCTATCTCTCTCTTTCTCTCACTCTTACTTAGAGTAAGCTACTCTCGCGCATACGGACGCGCACCGGGTAGCCTAGCACTCCCAGCTTCTGACTCCCTCTCCGTACACCTTCCTCTCGTTCCCCACCCCGCGTCCGGCGCTACCCCCGTCCCACCGACACCCGCCCACACCCCAACAATCGCTGCCGCCGCTGCCGCCGCCGCCGCCACAGCCACCGCCACCGCCGCTACCGCCGCCACCGCCACCTCCCCGTCGTCCGAAACGCCCGTGTCGGTCGCCCTCGGAGTGTAGACGCACCAAGAGTAATGTGCGCGCGCGCGCTCTGCCTCCTCGTCGCGAGACTCCCAAGGATACGTGCTTGTGCCAACGCCACCGCCTCGGCCTCTTATCGCGACCCTCGCAGTAGTATATATTCTATCGCCGTGTCTCTCATTACTGCGAGGCAAACATCCCGCGGAGCCATGACGAGCAGGGAGTAAAACGACGCGAATCCTTAAAAGGAGAAGCGGAAGGACGAGCACACGAGAGGAAGTCGCTGCCAATACTCGATCTGGACTTCAGCTGAGATTGCCCTGGTTTTACTGCTAGTGCATTTAGCGAGTGCGTGCACGTACGCGCGCGCGTCCGACCCTGTGCGCGCGGAGCGTACACCCCGTCTCCTCGTCCTGCGAGCACGTAAACGCCCGAGGTGCTGCGCGACTGTCAGGAATTATCTCCTCGCCCTCGGCCTCCCGAAGCCCCTTATTTCCGCAATTTTATAATTGCGAATGCGAGCGCGAGGAACGGAAGCGGCAGCGGCAGCGGCAGCGGCGGCGGCGGCGGCGGCGGCGGCGGCGGCGGCAGCGGCGCCGACGAATAACCGGTTTAATTCGGCTCGAAGCCCATCATTCTGCTAGACGATTACATAATTGACGATCCAAACTGATCTCTGCAGGTACACCCGCGCCCCTACACAAATCCGTGCTCGTTATCATTATACTCCCCTCGACGTCTCACGGCTACTAACAATTTCATTCCGGTGACATAACGTATCGTCACCGCCTTTCAAGCAAATGATTGTCGCGCTCGCTATCAACTGACATTACGAATAAATCGCGTAATAACTTCTCGATCATCTCGATCGCCGGCCCTGAGTTAGAAGCTCCAATGTCAAATGTCGTGCGCCGTGGCCACCTGGCATCCGGTGCATACGCCGGGTCATACGCGGCTCCTACTACTCGCGCATCCTCGGCGTCGAGTCACTTCCAGTAGGGTCGCCACAACTCGCGCACCAACGTCAGCACCGACGTTGCTGGTGTGTACGTGGAGCGATGGGGGAGTGAGCGAAGCCCGAATCGGATGAGAATGAACAAAGCCGCTGCTCGCTGATAAATCCGTGTTGCGGACAACACAACGCGCTCGCTTTCTCTTCGGCCCCAAATGTGACAGAGAGGTAGGAGAGGGAGAGAGATGACCCGTATACCACCCTAACGTTCGCTCCCACCCTATATCCTTCTCCTTTTAAGAATCGATCGGCTTTCGTAGTACGTCGAGATAAGATCCTTGTATATACTCTAACATACACTCGTTGTGTGTTGTTTTTTGTTTTTTTTTTATTCTTTTATTTTGTTTTGTTTGTTGTTCATTTTTCTTTTTTTTTTTTTTTTTTTTTTTTTTCCCCACCTGTGCATTCGTGTGCGTGCGTGCGTGCGTTCGCGCGTGCGTGCGCGCGTACTTGATTGCGTGCGTGGTAAATACGTCCTCGCGCGTACAGGGGTGTGGGTGTGCATCACTATATTCACGTATACATATGCTTGGTTACGGGACGGGTATGCGTGCGTGCGTGCGTGCGTGCGTGCGTGCGCGCGTGCGTGCGCGCGTGCGTGCGCGAAACGTGGGCCAACGTGTGCTCGTATGCACGTACCCGCAATTTATTCCAATATAATTAATTTGAATTTGCGTACGAATGCTTACGTGTATATAAGTGCGTGCATGCATCTTAACGAAGCTCTCTTACATATTAATGAGAAAGTAAAGCTCTGTCTCTCTTAATCATCTGCGCTCACAGCACCGTTTCCCTTTTCTCGATTTTCTTTTTCAAGTGACCTGTTATCTAAGCATCCGTGTTAGCTCGAGCAACGGAACAATACGACGAAGAGAAGAAGACGGCAAAAGTGTCAACAAACGAACTGTGATGAGAAAGAATATTGAATGAGCTGGGGCAAGTCATATCTCTCGTGAATGAATCGATAAAAGAAAGAAAGACGTAACAGAAGCGGTGCAAAGCAAATATTACGAAGAGAATTTTCATAAGACACGGGGCTGTGAAAGTCTCATTGGTTTTTGCAAGAGTGATATATTTTCAGTGTATCTAACTTGTCATTTGCAAAGCAGTGGAGGAGGTGGAGAAGGACGAGGAAGAAGAAGAAGAAGAAGAAGAAGATGAGGGCCGTAATGTGGCTCGCGTTGCTCGTTCTGCTGAACGTCGACGTCAGCAGGCAGCAGGAAGAAGATATACCACATAATCAGTAAGTGAATTACGATATTATTATTCCTGGCTTCTGTAGTGCGATAAATCCTACCGAATTCAAATGACTATTCGTACTTGAAATGCTGGCATGTTATACATTTACCTTGTAGCAAGGGTCACGATTTATCGTTACACACGCACACCCGACACGCACACGCGTCACGCACACGCATTCACGTTTCCCGTTTCTCGTTTCTCGTTTCATTCGCACAAACATATATTTATTTATATTTAATGATGAAATTGCCACCTTTATCTCTTAGACGAATTTACCGTTAAAAAGTTCTAAAATTTCATCTTTTTATTGTTTCGTCACCACGTTCTTAAGTAACGCTTAATTAAACAAATTAATCTATAAAACAATCGGCTTAGAAAAAGTAATAAAATTATTATGCATACGTGTGTAGGTTAATTTACCGTATTTTTTCATAAATGGCTGCTTATTACACTAATCAATTTTTTTTATTTTTTAACCATCGTGGTATCATTTATCGATTATAAAATTAGTTTTACAAGATTAGCTCTAAATGTTCTAATGCAATAAGTTGGCAATAATCACTACTGTATTATACCTATAATTAAAATCATTAATTTCATTAAATATTACAAAATTCTTTTTGTTAATTGATTGTGAATATTCCCAATGTGAGAAAGTGTTGTTACTTTCGTGAATCGAACATTATAAATAATTCATTCGACCGAGCATAATATATAAATGTACTTAATTTCATTGCAAGTTATTTATTTTAGCGAATCGTTAAATTGCAATATTAACTTTTGAAATCTGTAAAAGAATAACTCTTCCTTGAAATAAACATTATATTAATAATGATAATAAAGTAAATACTTGGATTGCTCTTGATGTACTATTCAAGTCTTTACTGCACTATTTAAGTGTTAAGTGAAAACCGATGAACTAAATATGCCTAAGTATGCGTAATACAGCTATTGAAATATTTATTTCTTATAGTAATGAGATACTAAAATCGAATGTTTATGCTGGGAATATAAACGTTTAAATTATTTAAAAATCTGTCGGCATTACAAATGATACGCGTTACATTGGGTAAATTGCAAAATAAAAAATGATCATCAAACTGCAATGTACGAAATGTATAAAGTACAATGAACGATTAGAAAAAATTATAGCTGACCATAGAATAATTAAAAAAAAAATTAATCCATTACAATATTAACAGATTTTTTTGGAACTTTTATATGTAGAGCATTAAAGAGAAAGAATGACATAGTGGAATAATTGTGTTCATAAATTATTCTCTAAAGTAGCTTCTACTAATGACGGCATGAATAGGCAAAACTATAAGCCATGAAAATGATAAGTCTCGTAGATTTCACGATCCTTTTGTTGACGAGGTACAACGATAATATACATAAAGTACCGAGGTAATATTAAAATGTTCACACATCTAGCTTGAAAAAATGAATATCACTTTCTATTTAACTAGCATTACAAATTCCAGTTTCACGACGAAGTTTATTGTGTATTCGTGAGGTGATGGCTGAATATCTAAAATATCCCGCATTCTTGTCAATTATTTTGTTAACAATCTTATCATTAATCTTTTTGCAATAAGAAAATTTATAAAAAAATTAACCCGCCTTATTAATTAATAAGCATAAATTATTAATCAATCTAACATTCTAGTTACTAATGCTCGGTTATCATATTCAATAAATATATAAAATACAAATTTTTTTTTTTTTTTTATGATAGATCAATATATTGAAATTTGTTTGAAAGTAAAGTTTGTAAATAAATAACTTCGTATTTGTTTATTTTAATTCGACGATTCTATTATTAATGTGAATAACAATAGAAGATAAATAATTAATGTCCGCGGCAAGAAATGTAAAAGTTTTGAACGAGTCGGACAATTTCGATAAACGAAAGAAAATTATAATTTGTTGCGTTAATGTATCATTTAGCGAGGGTAAACGATTACGTGACTTAAAAATACTTAAATGCTTGTTCAAATAAACGTTTCGTGTTTATTAATACTTACGTCACTAATGTACATACAACTTATATGAAAAATAATCTCTTGTTTTTTTTTTTTTTTCTAAGTTCATTCTAAGTTTAGTATTATTGTACTATTCATTCCTTAATTAATTAAATATTAAGTGTACTATTTCGAAAAGTATTTTTATAATAACAATGAAATAGATGGTTAATGAACCAATTAAATAAAAATCTTTTTAATCGAGAAAGTATTACGATTTTCAAGTAACATAATGCCTCACGCAATTATTCATATTAAATCGATGAATTTTCAAATGCCGGTAAGACGTAACACGAGCAAATGATCGATATCAATCGGTGTTATTTGAGTTATATTGGAAATAAAATATACAAATCGTAAATACATCATCACCTACAAGTTTAGCAGACATATTTTGTTTCCATTACCAAAATTGTATCCACTATCCATATCTGATGGGCAGACCAATCGATGCGTAAATATAAACGAGCATCTAGGTAGACAGAAACGGTCCGCTAAGATGTTCACCTTACAATTCAATGGCTAAATGCGCACTCACACGCGCGCGCTGATGCATACTTAATAGATGTGCGCTCGTACGTGTGTGAGATAGTGTGTCGATGTAAAGCTTGGACGAGTCGCTGGTAGCTTGACAGGGCGTGAAATTCCAAACGCGCGACCTTCTGGTGAAACCCCTCCCTTCTCCGTCATCACTGTCCCATACAGACGAAGCCTCTTCAATACTTGTAGCCACATATAAATGCGGGCGTATTACATGTGTGTACGAGTTAAAACAAGCGTGTATAATCGTCGAATTAATTCGAAAAGCAAATAATAAAAGTTCAAAAACGAGCAAATATTAAAAGGTATAGTGAATCAGATTTTTTTAATTTTATTTTCAAGATTACTACTCAATGTCAATTCATTAATTAAGAATTAAAAATCATATACTAATTTCATATACTACTTACATATTTATCTTTATTAATACAAAATATACTTTATAATATACTTTATTAATACAAAATGTTAATTTTTCTCCCATGACAAGATACGCTTTTATTGAAATACTTTCCAATATTTCCCATATATTTACAAAATATTGACATTACAATATAATTGATAAGATATTTCAAAATTATGCCATTTTAACTGCCAATTTATTACTTTAAATCAATGCTACTAATGCATTTCGAATATACATTCAAAGTTCTAGTACTTCATGTAATTGAAAATGTATTAAAACTAACAAGTTTACTGCATCGTTGCTCAAAACTAATTTTTGTTTTCTCTTAAATAATATTTATTATATATGATATTATATGATAGGTAATTGATATATAAGTTTATTAAAGTATAGCTTAGTATTGTCTCTTTATCATTTTGTTCTCGACAGAGAATGCACAAAATGAAATAAATCTAATGACTTTAAACTAACATTTATATAACATAGTTAAATAGAGTGAAATAAGAGAAAAATAATAAAGGGAAAGAATCAAACGAAAAGAGAGAGAGAGAGAGAGAGAGAGAGAGATAAAGAGAGAGATAAAGAGAGAGAATTAAAAGAACTAAGATTGAAAGATTGAAAATTGAAAATATTCTCTCTTGTACTCGTTATAATATAAATATCTAAAATGTCATGATTACATAATTATCCAATCAAAAAAGTACGGAGTATCTAAAAGAAAAATGCATTCGATAATACAAGGATCAGCATATTCAAACACACACGCGCGCGCGCGCGCGCACACGCACACGTATATTTATATTATTGTATGTGCCGGATGAATGCAATGTTAGGAGAGAAAAAAAAGAAATGTCGGCGACAGGAGAAACAAAAAATGACAGCTTAAGCGCACAGAAAAAGTTCGGAAGCTTTAAAGTTTAGTCGTATAAATTACGTATCGGTCATTTTCTCTCTTCTTTTCTCCATTGCTCCTTCATTCGATCTTTTTTCTATTTGACTGTTCAAGTTTCGGAGCGGCGTAAAGTGACCCTTAACAAAGTTTGTAACAAAATTAAGGGATCTGTCATTTTCTTCTCTTCCATTATTCCAATTCTCCACTTCAAGTACCTCTGTCGATCAATTTTAAAAATCAAGTTAAGAATTTCATGCAAATGCGACAAACTTTTTCTTACGAGATTTTATGACAATTGATGAATGGGGAACAGAATTATTTTTATTATTTTTATTATAGTATCGAATAAACTAAATAAAAAAAAAAAAAAAAAACAACTATTTTTAAATAATGAAAATGTATTCGGATAAAAACATTTTTTTATCTTAAAGGTACATCGCACTTTTTAAGTTTCGTTCTATTTATTGAAAAAATCTTTTAGTAAATTGGAAATTCAATTAAGTAAAAATATTCTGAACAATAGAGGCTAAAATGTAAATAAGACAATGAATCAATATTACGTGAGCAAAGAATTTACATAAATTTCAGCCGTTGTACAATTTTTCATATGTTATTTTTCTTATTTATTTTTATGTAAATTTGACGTTATGATATAACTTTTTCTTTATAAAAGTTAAAGGATAATTTTAATTGTATTATAGAAGAAAGTATTAGAAATATAAATGTTCAAATTATTCCAATGGTAAAGAAACTTAAGGGCAACTTGGTGAAAACTCATTTAAGTTTATCTTGAAATAAGATAATCAGATTTTTAAATAATTTCAATTTTTTATTAACCTAATTGTAAACTTATTTTTAATTCTTCAAAAAACGTTCAAAAAAAAAAAACGAACAGTGTACAAAACAGATAAAAGGATAAAAAAAAAATCAAAAGGATACTTTCATGAAAGGAAGAACAAAAAATTTTTTTACTAATGCTAATGCTGCTACTATTTTCAACGACTTTTTGCCTCTTGATTCTCCTTTTTTTTTTCTTCTCCATTTGTCACATTAATTTCAGAAACTCTTATATTTACTTAACCTACACTTAACGAATAGCAATTAATTAATTTATTTCTTTGTACATCAAAATATTATATGTTAAATATTTAAATGATTTAATTTATCCGCATTTTAATTTTAGAATGAAATATCCAATCGTCTTTATTCTAATATTAGAACATAGTTAAAGTTAAGTTTTCATTCATCTCTATTTTAATACTGTTAATTACATCTTTAGAACTCCATTAGTTTCAAAATTTTGTGCCGACTTAACTTATTGAAAAAGAATAATTCATTTCATTGCTAATTGTTGTGTAAATGGAATATATACGGTTCGTAATTAAATCCATTATTCCAGAAATTAGTGAGTTTTGTAAATTCGTAATAAGCTTCCTTATCCCCTTGATTACTCGTGAGTAATGTATTACTTCAATTCACGACTTCAATCTCAAAGATCTTTATTCTAGCGCGAAAAACTTCACGCATGCATGCTTATACGTGTCTTAAGAAATTTCATTCTCCACTAAACGCGGTCGTTGTAACGCTCAACCTGGCACTTTTCCTTATTCTCTCTCTCTCTCTCTCTCTCTCTCTCTCTCTCTCTCTCGTCCACAATTTTCTCGTACTCTCCGTGCCTTTTTTTGCGTCGACCACCGAGCCGTATCCGTGCAGGCGCTAACAGACACGCAATTTATGCCGCGAAACTTTATCAACTTTAAACTTTAAACTTCGGCATCTCAAGGGACGGAGATCTCGAGTTTTACAATTTCGACCGCTGCGTACTAAAGGAAAAATGGGAGGTCAGTTTTACACCCCAAAAAGATCGGCATCCCATCCCCACCGTCACACCCCGAGGCACCGCACTGTGCTTTTATATATAGCAAACACGAGGCCGGGTCGCTTCTGTTTTCCTAAACACGGCGAATAAAGCGCTTATGCCACGCTCGAACGAAAATATTATTCGTAGGAAGGAAAAAGTTTACACGTCTTGCCATTTCATCGCTTTTTGTGCTTTTTTCTCTTGTCGACACTTTTCCACCGTTTCTCCACCGTAGAAATTCAAAGTAGGTTCGAGCGGGGAACGGAGACATCGCGGCCGATGCCAACGAATGCTTGTAAAATGTGAAATGTCGTAGGTCTTGGGAATTTTCTCCATGTAGATGTAGAAATTATTGAATTTTCGGAAAACGAGGAACAAATTTTTCATTTTCTGCTTTATTTTCCAATTTCGTTGAACACGAATGATTAAAGGAAATTATCGATATCGCGATTTTGACAAATTTGCTAATCTACTTTAAGAGTTTAAGAACTTAATATCTGGAAAATGCATTTTATTCGTTTGCTAGAAACTTCTCTCTTACGTATCGTATCAACAAGTTTAATATTTTCTAATTAAAAAGTAAGGACAAAAAGAGACGAAACATTAAATAATCTTTTAGCAGATTTAATATTGAAAATGGCTACGATTCAAATATTTTAATTGAGAATCTTATCATTGTTATTTATAAATTAGAATAAATATAAATAGTAGGAAGATCGTGAAATCCTGTAATTATTATAAATAGAATAAAATTGCAAATGAATAAGAGGAAAAAAATTGAATTTAAAGAACAAATGTTTATATATATATATATATATATATGTATGTATAGATGCAAAATTCATTTTGCAATTAATATCTATTGCCTCGATATTTGTATCTAATTATTAAATCGAAACTACATAATTTCAAAATTTTACAACTTTTTTTCATATATACTTTTCGAAATGTCTGTTTAAACGTCTTTTTATAATAAGAAAAAAAATCTCAAAAATTCAATGAATTCTATGAGTCGCAAGAATTAATTGTTTAATAAATGCCGTATTTTTATAAGATATAGTAATGAATTTCATGAATCTTTATGTGATAAAATACATGAATATTGTAAAAGATCTACTTCGTTTTATCTTTAAATTTTATTATTTGTACTTAAGAAAGATACTCGGAAAAGTCTCATAAGCACGTTACATTATCAAATAGTTTTCCATGACAATATTTTAATTTGCTTCATAAATTTATTAAAAAAAAAAAAAAAAAAAAAAAAAAAAAAAAAAAAAATATTATATATATATATATATGAAATCGATCTTATTTGATTACGCCTTAATTAGTTGATCCTTACTTATACTCAAGGATAATTCTATTGTCCCAACTTTACTCCCACAGGCTATGAAGCCGGCATCGATACACGCCACGAAGAAGCAAGTTTAAATAAGTAACTTTTAATTAAATTACACGAACTTGAACAGCAGTTCGAAATAGTTCGAAAGACAATGGGAACAATCGAAACATTATAAAGAGATTTATGAAAAAAATTGTTTAACATATACAATTATATGTTAATTATTAATATTGGTCACGTCACTTGTAGCCAAATAAACTAGGCAAATACATACAATATCTTGAGTGTAAGGAAAACTCTATTAATTATAAAATATCAAAATTTTAAGTTCCTTATTGTGCTTTGATAAGACGGAAAATTGAAATAATCGAAGCTAGGGTTTAATAATCTCCGATAAATGAATAAATCTCTCATTGGTCTTGTACAATATTTCTTCTCGCATACGAGTAAATTTCAAACTGCTTCATAAGATTCATTCATTGATATAATTTTATATATATATATATATATATATATATCCGCTTAGAATCTCAAATACAATTCATTAATGTCACCATTAAAAAACTTTATTTAATTTAATCAGTACAAGCAATATTTTGGTATATATATAGTACTATTTATATTTATTATATTTTTTTTCTATAAAAGCTTTCTCTTCACTTATAAAACATTGTGTTAAAAATTTTTTTTTTTTATTATTATTATTCATAATTAAAAAATTATATTATGTTTCATATGACATTGTATTTAATAGGAAGAGTAAGGAAGGAAACTGATAATAAGCAAACATTTTAAAAATTATTTATAAATATTAATTAATCTTTTTCTAAATTCTAACTCCTTTCCATATTCATTATAAAAAAAAAAAAAAAAAAAAAAAAAAAAAAAAAAAAAAAAAAAAAAAATTCAAATTCAAATCAATAATATGGAAGATAAAGTAAATTTCTATCGTATTAAAAGCATCAATGTCATAAAGGATATTTTTATTCCATTATTCAAATTATAAAGGATTGTTCTACAAATAGGTCATGCAATAAATGTGACGTGTTTAGCATACGAACACTCACTACTCAGACATAATTCAAAACAAACTAAAAGTTTGATTTAGGTCACTCGACTAGTTTAGTTTTCATAATTTCAAAATATCTCACTTTGCTTTCTGGTTAAAAGAAAAGCAAATTCACACACACGCGCGCGCGCACGCGCACACGCATATATACATATTATTGTTTGATGTAGTAAATAAAAATTACTTTTGAGGTGGAGAATGAGGTGAAAAAAGCTTTACTCAGCCGAGAATCGAAGCCGCGAACTTTTGCTTTCACAACGAATAATATCTGCTTGACGAACCTAGCGATGCCTATGTAATTCCATTTTTCAATTCGTTCTCGCGTCATTTGTGATTATACCACTAAGCGATATTTGGATATTTGAAATCTATACTATGTCAATGATTAGATGATATCCACATATCATTTATATCTTGTTTTATAGCTTTCACTTGCTTATATTTTTACAGAGTTCGAAATTGGGCTTTGAGATTCGGAGTCGATCTTTGGGAATTCGGGAGATTGATAACTAAAATGAACGACATACAGAAGGTAAAAATTTTAAGATAACAGATAAGATAATAAATATTATTGATATTCTAATTGGAGATAAAAAGATTATCATTATATTTGCATTTTATGGGTTTTTCGCTTTTTCGCAAAAATACGTGAATTAAATAGAAAATTTCACTACGCAAAACTTGAATCATTGCTATATCAAATAGTAATTGTGCAATAATAGATTATTATCTTTTATATCTATAGCATTAATTGATTTATTATACTATTTATATTAATGAAGCGAAATTTTTAATTTCCAAAACAAAATATCGTAATAATGTTATAGTATCAAATAAAATTATAATCTATTTTTATGATTATTTGAGTGTTTTACTCAAAACGTACCTACTATTTTATCAGTAATTAATCTTTTATTCCGAACGATTTACCTTAAATTTAAATAGCAATAGAAACGGAATATTATTATATTAGCTTAATCGAGAGTAATTTATTTTTAAGATTTAATAAGATACTCAAATTTTATTCGTAGAAATATCTAAGTTCGAATGCCGCAGTTGTCAGAAAGGATGGACTTGTGCTTGTGAGGGAAATGGCAGCAGAGGTGAAGAATATGTTGGATTTCAAAATGAATGCAGTTATGGTAATAAAATAAAAATTTTCCTTACGATGTAAGACTGAGCGAGCCGTTTATGAAATAAGCCCAAGTGCAATGAATCATTTATCGTGAGAGCATCGATTTCCTAAATATCGTAGCAGCGGCGTATTTTATTCACAATTCGATTATCGTAAACAATAAATCCGTTTACTATGAGAATTTACTAACTTACTATTGCTTTAATTAAATAGTTAGATAATTATAAAAATATTTAGAATTGTTCATTATTCACGAAGCAAGAATATCTCATTATGCTTGCAAAAAGCCCTTATTTCAATGAAAATTGCCCTAATTAGGCAAAGTAGCGTAATAACACGGAAAAGGCGTTGATGCGCGCAAGATTCAACGCTCCAAGGATTAGAAATAGTGAAGATAATGACTTTGTCTGTTTGTGTGGTCGGATGCATATGTTTGCGCGCGTGCACATGCTTGTGGTCTAAAAACATTTATTCCACCAAAATACGTAAGATTCTTTTTGCAAGGATAGATAGACACAAAGTTTCCTAGTGATATATTTCACACGTGTAAATTGTGGGGGAAATGGAAAATTTTTTCATTTTTATTTACATTTATTTAAAGTTTATTTTATAGGAGGAAATATTAGTTTTATCGATAAATCTATTTCTATGTATTGTACCAATCAATTTGAATTTTTGTCTATAAACATAGCCTACAAATTCGCTCACTTATATAAAAAAAAAAAAAAAAAAACGAGAGAAAAAAACGTCTTCCTTAATTATAAATTATAATAAAAGATAAGAAGAATATCGGCCTTCTCGCCCATTTATTAATCGTCTTTTATATTATTTAATTTTAAAACAAATGTATTTTTTAACGGCTCGGCAACTATTTAACGAACATCAATAATTTAACGAGAATCGTCAATTATAATTTAATATTCGTTAATATATTTATAATTATGCAAATCTCGTTTGAATTGCTGGCTAAGTGGCTAACAGTCAAGTTTAATTAGATATCATGAAAAATGTCTCGACAGCAGTATCACTAGCTATTGCAAAAGAAAAAAAGTAAGAAACAGAATGGAGCCTGGAGCTAGAGATGAAAAGGTTTGCGCGAAGCTCCGTAAATATTGGCAAACGGAAAATTTTCGTGCAATTCGAGATACGAGAGTGTATCTGCATTCGGTAGAAATTGTTTTTAAAATGGCGCACTTGTTGAGTCGAATGAAAAAAATTATTCGTCCGCGCTTCTTTCCGTCACGCTAAGCAGCCGCAAAAAAAAAAAAAAAAAAAAAAAAAAAAAAAAAAAAAAAGAAAGAAAGAAAGAAAAAGAAAACAAAAAAGAACTTATCAAGTCAAAAACAAAACGATAAAAGCATCGCAAGCTCACGGCGATAGTAGCAACTCTTTGCCGCTACTCCTCCATTAGACCGCTCGGCCAATCAAGGTCACCACGGGCATTTCAGAAACTAATGGAGAACGCGGAACAGGCCGCGGTCTCGGTGACCCAGGAGGCCACAACCTCGTCCAAGTACTACGCGAGCAACCGCATCAACCTCTTCACCGACGACGGCAAACTCGTGGCTGGAGCTCGCGAGATGTCCCTCACGGGTAACCGACACTTCGACCACATCGCGGTCAACCTGAGCTTGTCGGCTATCCTCATGCCTCCCGGGGTCAAGGACACAGGTAAGGAGCTAAGGAGGTGAGAACGAGAGAGCCCTTTTACTTACTATTGGCTCTCGGCATTTTCATTTACAATGACGCTTGGGATTCGCTTGGACAGGTGGGGGAAACTCGAGCTCGATGCACATTAGTATCATGATTTTACATTATTATTCCTTGTAATGTGTTAGGGCACTCCAATACATTGCTATCCGATATCCGAAAACTTGTCAAATTCAACGACAAGCGGCCGAATTAAAAGTGCTTCGCTGCATATTTTCTCTGTCAGATAGATGAGCGGAGAAATCTATTAAATTCTATTGAACAAACAAATACTTAAGAATATTAATTTAACAATGCACATGAATTTTTCATAAATCACTGAACACTATTACCCTCAACTACATACCAAAGAATTAATAATAAATTTAACGATCTCGATTATCGCTCATCGTGCGTCGCATTTCTTAATTATGCCTTCTAATAGCACATTTAATACACAATATTTAGTACGAAATTTTTAATATTTCTTTTGAATTTTAAATACGATAAATTTCAACGCTACTTGAAAATATAATGAAATTTTATAAACATTAAAAGATCGCTTGACTTTGGTAAAATAGTAAAATTTTGTATTTAATTTAACGTATTGTTAAATGTTGAATATTTTTCATCAACTTACATCCAAAATCTTTTTAAAATCATAATAGTATTAACTTTTCATATAATGGCAAACTAATTTATAGTTTAAACGAGAATTCTCTCATAGATTAAGGTAATTTTTCATAAATAAATAAATAGCAAAAACAAAAAAAAACAAAAGAAAAAAAGAAGACTCTTTTGTGTGTGTGTGTGCGTGTGCGTGCGTGCGTGCGTGCGTGCGTGCGTGCGTGTGCGTGTGTGTGTGTGTGTGTTGTGTGCGTGTGTGCGTGTGGTGTGTTGTGCGTTGTGTGCGTGTGTGTATGCGTGTGTGTGTCGGCATGAGGGAGGTACGATTACGACAATAAACGTCATGCATTTTAATTATAATTTTCATACCATCGTGTGTATATGATTTTAAATAATCACATATACCACCATACTACCATAATAATAGTAAAGAGTTGGTACGTTGAACGAATGGTAAACGTCAACATCAACTATTAGCTTCAACTAAGCTAATCGCTTACAGCTAAGCCTTTTACATCAAACAACTCGAACCAAGTCCAAGTGCTCCAGCTATCTTCCAATGTATTATTTACCTCTCTTTCTTTTTTTTTCTCTGTTCGTCGCTCCCGCCCCAACACGCCCCACAACCACAAAAGAATCCGACGTGGCGTCCGGCCTTCAATGGAGCGAATACCTCGATCCACTCTTCGTCAACAATTACGAGAGCGACCCAACTCTTTCCTGGCAGTATTTCGGATCGACATCCGGCTTCTTACGACGCTTTCCCGGTAAGCTTTTGTCCCTGTACACTCTTATCCTTCTCCACCCCCACCCCCATCCCCCTCGAGCTATACGTCAACTTTACTATTATTTATCAAAGAGAAGACAAGCGCTGCTTCTTTGTCGTCTCAATGAAGATTTTTTTCGGCTTTTTTTTCTGCTTTTTTTTCTGCTTTTTTTTCTGCATTTTTTTCTGCATTTTTTTTTTTTTTTTTTTTTTTTTTTTTTCGGTTTACGAATGTTTAGAGGAGAAATTGTGTACTCGGCACACGAAACATTGACTCCTTGATAATCGAATAAATGAATTATTATTATTTGCTTATTCACTTATTGAATTGGAACGTTCGTTATACAAAGTGAAAGAAGAAAAAATAAAGCAAAATGAAAGAAAGAAAGAAAGAAAGACTTTAGTTTATCCTCAACTTGCTTCTTAATATTAGTGCAATTGCAGGTTGGTGTGCCTGTTTATTTGCTTTTTGCTTAAAATAGAAAATCCAGTAAATTGTCCGAGCTTCAAATGGCCGAAATGTAATATCGATGTGAACGGAGTAATTATCGCTTTCCACTTAGAATCTTGAAATTCGCACAACTTAATTCACTACGATTAGTCTATCTATTTCAGTCACTCCTTTAAAATTTTAGATCTTTTTTGTATTTTCTCATTGCCACTGATACGATGTCACGCGAAATCATGCAATGACATTTTTAGTTCTTTCTTTTACTTTTGTTTTTTTTTTTTATTGTTTTTTTTTTCTTTTTTTTTTTTTTATTGTTTTTAAAGCGATCAAAAAAATTCAGTTTAAATAACGTTTCCATGAGGATAATTACACGAGGATAAATAGCCATAATCGTGATTATTAATGCACTAATTCGATTTATGAGTGATTTATCGATTGGCTATAATGGCTGATTAATAAACGTAGGTCGTGTGATGAACTGCGCCGATTCGTCAATTTCATAATGATCTTGATGATTCTTATTGGAATTAGGGCGGTCCCAATCGCAAAAATAAGAGTCGGCCATTCATTTCGTAAATTTGATAAATCGATTACTGAATTCTGGCGCTAATCATCGTCTTTACACAGCAATGTCGTGGCCGCCGGAGGATACGTCGCCGGTGCAGAATGGACCGATGCGCGTGCGCCCCGTCGACGACTTCCGGCTGTCCGAGTGGTTCGTTGGGGGGGCCACTTCGCCCAAAGACCTCGCAATCCTCGTCGACGGCAGCAGCCTCTATTCGAGCAAAAGCCGTAACCTCATCGTCGCCACGACAAATGCCATTCTCGATAGTCTCGGACCCAATGACTTTGTCAACGTCTACCGCTACGGCGAAAGTGCCAAGGAGATCGTAACCTGCTTCAAGGACGTTATGATGGTTGCTTCGCCCGAGAATATTAAGGAGTTGAAGGTAGGTAGTTGTCCAGCTTAGGCTCGCAGCGAATGCTGTCGAGTAAATGCTAATAATCCCCGTAATAATAAAAATAAAAACAAAAAACAAAAAAAACAGAAACAAAAACAGCACAATGAAAATATTTATCTATCTATTAGAGAATGAGAATAGTTATTGCCGCTGTTGGTCACATTACGATAAAGCTTTTTAAGGGACAAGTCGATCAATAACATATTTTAACATAACGTTTTCAACTCTTATCACGTCCAATTGAAATCGCTTGGAGTATAGTCAGGATATTTACAAACGAGATGGGTCAATGTTATGATCCACACAATGGTACAATCGCTCGTATAATCGCTCAAAATGGAAGATACATATTCCTTTGCCCATTCGACTTCATTACTCAAACGTCCTTCTTCCCCGTCTCAATAATCGATAAGCATTGGCAATGCCGACGTTGATCGAGCGAGCGGAGCGTCGACGGGCGAGATAAGTGCGGTAATAAGTGAAAAAGCTCCGCGAGGTGTAAAGGCGCGCACCAATGAGAATAGCCGCGAATGAGCAAGAAATGCCACTGGATGATTCTGCAAAAGCTTTATCGCTCGCATCTATCTGCTTAGACGGCCGTGAACAACTTGACGGGCGAATCGACGTCCAATATCTCGGCAGCGTTCAGCGCGGCCTTCGAAATCCTGCACAAGTACAACAGATCGTCGCAGGGCAGCCAATGTAACCAGGCGATCATACTGATAACGTCGAGGAGCGACGTTGCACCGGTAGAACTTATCAAGCACTACAATTCACCCCACATGCCTGTCCGGATATTCACGTACGTCGTGGGAGGTGACAATAGTCAAGAGCTTCGCACAATGTCTTGCAGCAACAAAGGTACGACCAAGGGTTTTAAGGCTTTTCGATTAATTAAATCAAGTTTTTTATTCGAGCTCGATCGCTCGCCGATCCCTCCACTTCTCGTTATTAGCGGGATTCTTAATTTAATAATCGGCCCTTTCATCAGGCTTCATCAATGCATAACGGCGTTAAAATCTTTTAATCCTATTATTATACAAGGATCAACAATTATACTTGGGCTTATATTATACCGGCAAATGCCATTCGCATTGCCAATCGTCGTTACGACGATTTTTCGATTATCAGTGCGATAACAATTGAATTCTAGCTGCCCACTTGACTACATAAATTGATTAGATAAACAAATTAGAAATAATTTCTACCCGCTTCTCACCCGAGAACTCGTCGATTAATAAGACTTTAACGGCTTCTCCATTAGCTTCGACTATAAATTCACATTACCGCGACGACATAATATGTCATTGAAATCTCATTACACCTACTTACGAATTTTACTTTTAGGATATTATACAATGATAAAAAGTATGGACGAAATAAAGAGCAAAGTTTTCGAGTACATCAAAGTTTTGGCAAGACCTATGGTTCTCTATCAACGCGATCATCCCATACATTGGACGCCGGTTTACATTGGCGGAAAGGTAAGATCTCTAAATACAGTATCCTTAACGATTAAACCTGTTATATCGATCGAGGGTTTAATAAATTTAGAATGCCAAACGATCGATTATCAATTATTATTATTTCTTAAGCATAATAGTTTTACGAATAGAATTGATACTAAGCGTATGTATTTGTTTAAATAATTACACTACGCTGATGGCTTGACGATTAATATACAATGCGACTGAGTGAATTTTCATCAGCATAGAATCTATTATAACTTTATTATATCTCGACTCGATGCTAATGAAATACATAACGACGACTCATCGAACCTTAATGCAATATCAGTACAGAAAATTGAATAAGTACGATCAATTTATATAAGTACTTTTCAATATTACTCGAGAAACTACTGTAAATCTACCACTTATGAAAACTTTAAATTGATCTTCCTTTAAAGTTTTCACATTGCACTTACTTATTTCAAGCACGTCGAAAAATAAAGAAAATTCATAATAAAATCACAAAACTTCTCTTTACTATTCCGAGTTTCATAAGATTATCTTTATATATTAATATTTTATAAAATCTCTATTTATTACTCGATTCAATTATCGAAGCGAATATTATAATATCGATCAAATGATAATAATAATGATTCATCTAATTGTATTAACTAGCTTTAAACGAGTGTTAACAAACAAACAAACAAACAAAACAAAAAATAAACAACAATTTAATATTGAATAAATAATCATTTAAATGAACGGTAGGAACGGTTCTTTTATAAAATATTAAAAATTTTATGAGAAACCATACAGCAAGTTGCATTAACTTTTATAATAATAATGATGATATTAATAATAATAATAATAATAATAATAATAATAATAATAATAATAATAATAATAATAATAAATATTAAATAGGCTTATCGCTATTGTATTTATTTTATAATATGTTATAAATTAATTGTAAATTGACTTTTGCTTGCAATTCGTATTATATTATATTAAAAATTCTTATAATAAACCATTAAAGCTTCACTGAATCATCTAAACCACATTATAAAACTATTCTAATTTTTTGTTTCTATAATCTATAAAATAAGTTTATTTGCATAATTAATGATCTCGAAGAAATGAAAATATATCATTTTATATTAATCGCTTATATTATAAACATTCTCATGATTTTTATATTATAATTATAATATTATATATTACAACAATTTATATTTAGCAAAACTATGATTGCAAAAATATTCTAATGAACATGAATTTGCTCATTTTCAATTTAAAAAAAATATAATCTTGAATAAAAATTTTTATTCTTTTCCTTTTTGTCTCGCATAAAAGAAATTTTAAAGTAGAAGAATTTCAAAGATTTCATCTCGAAATGTCATTAAAATAATCGAGGTTAAATGTACGCGCGGACAAGAAAGGGAGAAGAGAGAAGAAAGAGTGGGAGGGTGAGAGAGAGAAAGAGAGAGAGAGAGAGAGAGAGAGAGAGAGATAGACAAGCATTCAAGCTTTTATCTCACAAAGTTCTTCCTCTCTCGCTCTCTTTCATTCTTTCTTTCATTCTTTCTTTCTTTTTCTCTTTCTTTCAGACCCTTTCTAAGTTTAATCAGATTATAGCGGGTGTTAATTGCCTTCATAAACTTTCAGAGTAGCAGATACGGCCTCGAAGGTCAAGGTCAACTCATGACGTCAGTCACTGCGCCTATATTAGATCGCAGAAATCACACGGTAATTGAAAGTGCATTGCCCTTATCTTTAATAGTATTAGAATCTCTAAGATTTTCTATTTCAACTGAATTTTTTTTTTTTTTTTTTTTTTTTTTTTTTTTTAACAAATCGAATCATTTAAGCGAATAGAATTTGAATGTCACAACACTTCTAATGACTCGTAATTACACGGAATTCATTTATATACGTATATTTTAAAAACAATTTCAAATTTACAAAACAGTAGAGACTTTCATTAATTTTTATTACACACATGTTGATTTTATCCAATGATATATCTCTCGTTATATTTTCATTGAAATATTATGTTTAATTTAAAAAAATACTATTATATTGCTGATTGCGCGTAAAATTTTATTCTATTATCAATCTTAATATATACGTATTTTGTTCATGTATATATTCAAGTGTGAGAAAAATTCTTTTAATTTAGATTGTAATTAATCCATTTAAATTTGCCTTAATCACAGGAGTATAAGCGAGATTATATTTTATTATATAAGCATAAACTTAAAATCACATTATTATCATAATTTTTCAGAATTATAATGACATTAATTTTCGAAAGAGAAATTGTTGCATTTTAATTATCGTATTTCTTTTATCTAAATGCAAATGCAATTTCAGGTTAGAGCAGCTAATTTATTGGGTATAGTTGGGACTGATGTACCCATTGAACAAATTCAAAAACTTGTGCGACCTCACAAGGTAATATTATAACGAAATTTAAAAAGCATTCAATGCCTAAAGCCACTAATGAATTTATAAAATTTCAATAAAACAACATGACAAACATTTCAGCTGGGTGTTAATGGATATTCATTTTTGGTTGACAACAATGGACGCGTCTTGTACCATCCTGATTTACGTCCTTTGGTAAGATTGGCTTATTAAATAGAGCAATAATAATATTGAATGGATGTGGAATATTAATAAATATATATATATTTTGTATTTTTATAGCCAGGAAACATTGACGTAAGTTTAAAATTATTATTATATATATATATATATATATATATATATAAATTAATTAAGCAATTAATTAAGTATTTATCATGAAATATTTATTTTTAGTACCATGAAACCTTGAAGCGCAAATTCATCAGCGTTGATTTATCGGAAGTTGAATTTTCTGAATTCGATGGGCCAATGCATTCTTTAAACAACTCACTTTTGCTCGATGTAAATTTTATAATTTAATAATAATTAAGTATTTGCAATTGTAATTTGCATATGAAGCATTTAATTGTAAAATTTTTTTTAAAAAAATTTATTATAACTAACTGCTCGATTATTCATCTATTTTACATTTCATTTAATAAATTTGGTCATTTGCCGAATATAGCTTAGACATGATATGATTGATCAGAAAGAAGGGGAGACCGAATTCTCGGTGAAAGTGCATTACGATGACATGGTATGAGAATGAGAATAAGTATAAAAACGAAAATTTTATTTATTATTGTTATAAAAAAAAGTTACTTATATAATTTTGCCATAATTATCGTAGAAGAGAGTAACTATCAGGCGTCATAATTACTTTTACAAACCAATCGAAGATACTCCGTTTTCGTTGGGACTTGCATTACCGGAAGGTTACGGCATGTTTGATTTGCATGCCGAGCAAGAAATAAGGCACGCACCTGTCAACGGTAAAGACGAATTTTACTTATGAATTTCTGTCGTTACAATTATGTTTTATTTTCATAATTGTAAAAATTAATAGTAGATGATAAAATCGGCATACGACATTACAAGATTTATTTGAAAATTATGAGAAAAATTCACTTTAATTTAATCATACGATTGCAATTTTGTCTACTTAAACGTTAGGACACGTTAAGCTCCTGATAAATAAACGCTTAACGCGCACGTTACTAATAATTAATCGTTCATAGAACAAATACATATCCTAAAAATGATAATTTAATCTCCAAATTGTCTTATGAATTATCGTTATGCCTTAGTAACGCGATACTTCAAAGAAAATGATTGGAAAGTACATCCTGACTGGACCTACTGCGAGTACTATTTCGAATCGGAAAAATGGTTTGCAACACCGGAGGAGCGGGTTCTACACTTTTTAACTCAAGCTCATAATCCAGGTTGGAAATGGCGGTCCATGAGACCAAAAAGTCCAAGCTCGCATCGGAAACCTGCAAGCAAGCCCGACAAAGATTATTATTATTGTAAGTTATATCAATTAAATTAACGAGCTTCTCCTATCGTACGATTCAACCCTTCCAATATGCTTCGGACTTCGATATCTCTGGGGGAACAATTTTTTGAAAAATCTTTAACACATGGATTTTAAAGTGTACATAATACAAATACCATTTTACTTATAATTGCAGGTGATAAAGGATTATTACAATCATTGGTATTAGATGCTTGGGTAACAGATGGATTTTCTGAACCAAGTGAAAAATCTATGCAAAAGGAGGAAAAGTAAGTGAATTTTTATATAAAAGACAATGAAAAGAAAAACGTTGAGGCACGTCTAAGAGCCTAAAGATTTGTTGCAAAATAATTAAACACAGAGCACCACGTATTAATGCACTATTTGCACCTGATCGATCGATCTACTTTCATAAGCATTATTATTAGCACACGAGGCAGCATTTTCTCGAAGAGATTGGAAAATATTTATAAGATGTTAGAGAGACTAGGTTTGTTTATTTACTCGATCACTGGAATTATTTATATATAAGTTGTGCCTATGCAGAAGACAAATTTTTTCAAATAATCGACTCAATAAATTTCAATATCTTTTCAAATCTCATCAAATTTATTATAAAAATATAATGCTATCGATACTTCGAAATAAGAGGAATGTTAAATATAACCGAGTCGTAACAAAAATTTCTTTCTAACATCGCTTATGTAATTGACAATTAGAGCTGAAGCAGAAACATAATTAAAAGAAAAAATGGATAAAAATATTTCCAATCAATTAATAAAATAGTCATTCCGATCATTTCAATTGAAAATATATCATTTATATATTTATTTCGAATATTATTAGCTCCATATTAACAATACCGTTATTTATAAATTTAGTGTAATTGCCGATTAGTATTTATAAGTACCACATGGCATTGTTTTTAATCTAAGAACATAAATGACTGAATTACGCTTATACGAGAATTATTTGTTGCATGAATTTCTGCATTCAGCTCTACTTTTACAGTACAACTTTTATTAAATAAAATTCTTTTCTTAATCTAATTCACGTATTCATAAGATTTCATAAAAAAAATTTCGCATCAGCTATTTTTATAATGTTTAATTTAAAAGAAATTACGCAAAGTTTATTTAAAAATGATAATCAAAGCTTTAGAAATAAATTTTCAATTTGAAATTTTTTACCAATAAATATTATATAATAAAGTTCGATTGTATAGAAGATGTATAATTTTTCAATATTCCCAACTGAATGAGCAGTTACTTTCTTACATTAGTAGTAAAAGTTTATAAGAATATAGCACTTACATTAATTACTTTATAAAAAAAAAAAAAATTCTACAAATATTGTAATAATTTTATAGAGCATTTTTATTTAATATTAGAAATTCGCAATTTAACAATGTAATATTTTTCAAACATTTTCAATAAATAACTGCACAAAATATCTTCCTGTACTTTATCAAATCTCAATTATAAATAATATATAAATGTATATATATATATATATATATACATGCGCGCATACATACATCTATATTATTGGCTACGAGTAATCTTGAGAAAAATTATCTTTTTCATATATTTTCTACAAAATAAACTATTAATGTTACGTTGCACTATAAAATTATTTAAAAAATAATTATCTAATTATATAAATTTCGTAGAATAAGTGCTGAATATTAAAAACAACGATATATTCGTTAATTATCTTATGATATATGAAATGTGAGAAAGGAAAGGCAAATTGAAAATAGATCGATCGATCCCACTATTTATAATACTTATGCTTTTCTTATAAGCACTGCACAATATTATTGCACAACCGTTCTCACCACTAATTTTATTTAATATGTTTATTGTTTATTGTATATTTTTATTATATTATGATTGTGTGTCTTCACCGCCAGCCCAATTGCCATACTGATGGCTCTGATGTTCAGGTAATCACAATGCACAAGTTATATGTTTAAAAGCTCGCTCGCACAAAATGTTTATTGCACGGTAATGTGTCATTACATAACGTACATCTCCTACATCATGCCAGCTTTTTTCTTTTATATATTTATAAATGCACAATCAATGCACCTGCACCTCTCGCACCATTTAATATATATATATATATATATATATATATATATATATACATCATTATAAAATATCATTAAAGTATTTAGTATATATAAATGAAAATGAATAAATGAATTTGCATATGCAAAATCAGCGGTTATTTTTCTGATATTTACGTATACATAAAATTTATTTTATGTGTGGTATGTGGTGATTGTACGATGAATTCAATTTTATTTTAAATTTTTCTCATTAATTTACTGTTTGAATTTGGTAAACTTTTATAATATTTGGGCGTAACAAATTATTACTAACTTAAACGAATCATGAAAAAAAAAAAAGAAAAAAAAACACGTCTAACACCAAGAAGTAAGAGAATATTTCAGATCATTTAATGCGAGTATATCTTCAACCGCAAACATTCTAATGCGAAATATTAGAATTAGATTGTTCAAAACGAACAATAAATATTCTTAATTTAATCAAGATCATTTTTCAATGATTTATAAAAGCTTGTATTGTTAAAATATACGAGGTAAATTAAATTAAATTATACACAGTAGAATAAGATCGTTCCACATATTTAACATAAATATTAATGATTATAAGCAAATTATAACTCATATAATTGGTAAATAAAAAATATAACGTTCCATATTAGAACGTTGCAGTTCGGTATTCCACTATAAGCAAGAAAATTTACTGTAATTTAATTTTATGATATTAATATATTAAGATAATAAAATAAAACATTTCAGCACATAATTCATAAATTAAACGTACTACACTATGTTCTTGATAAAGTATTGATAATATTTCCTAAATAGTGTTATTATCTTATTCTATCGTATGGGAATTACTATGAACCTCATTCTACGTAAAGAAATTTTGAATACTTCTTATTAAATAATGTTTTTTAATTTGCGATATTTTTAAAGTTATAATAAAATGTATGTCAAATTATAATATATTTATATCTTATAATGGTAAGTATATTTTATAATCGTAAATGTATTACACAAGTAGTTTTAAAAATTCTCGCATCGATAAAAAAAAAGAATATATATATATATATATATATATATATATATATATATATATATGTATATGAAGGAAATTCCGATGAGATGAAAAACCAATAAAGAAGAAATAAGAACTCTAGAATGCATCATTCGAAAATGGATAAAAAATAATTAATTCGTACAATCAATAAACCTATAACCTGGAAGATATAAAAAGAAGAAAATGTGTACGTATAACAGAATATAAAATATATCAACGGTAAAAGAAAAATGAAAAAAAAAACGTAGGTATAAGAAAAATGAATTTTATATATTTTTTTATATTTTAAATAAATAAATAAATAAATAAATAAATATATATATATATATATATATATATATATATATATATTATATTAAAACGTAATATAAAACAAGTAATAATTATAACAATATAGTTATGTATTTTAACATAAATATTACTTTAACTATCACTTACAGAATGAATAATCTTGATATATTGAATAAGTTTCAAAATCTTGTAAAATAATATAATATTTTTGCTATATAATACATGGCTTATAATGAAAATATATATTATTCAATAAATGTATTATTCTTCCGTGCTTGATAATCTAATACGTAGAAAGAGGGATGGATAATTGTCAACAAAAACAAAAAATAAATAAATAATAATAATAATAATAATAATAATAATAAAAATGCACATTTATTTTGTACTGATAATGTAATAATCTCAATCATAATATAAAAATAACTGTTATAAAGAGTTAGTTTTACGAAAATAAAAAAAAATTTAATTTATCTCAACTTGGTGTTAGGGGTACAATTGCTTTATTAACTTCTTTTATTATAATATCTTCTTTTACTCATATATGAGATTTTATTCCTTAACTTAATAGAAATTGTAAAGTTTAATTTTGTTAAAGAGTGTAGTAGATTACTAACATTTAATAATTTAACATTTGTACAGAAATTATGTTTTTATAATACTAATAACCCAATTAGATAGTGCTTCATCGGTGTTCTACTTTGTATTTATATTAATTATTAAATAATATATATATATATATATATATATATTTCGTCCGAAGGAGAGAAAATTGCAAACAATACTTTACATTGTATATATAATTTATATTGAAATTTATCCAAGCAATACTTAAATATTAGCTTTATTGTTTAAAAACAAATATTATTGATAATTTATCCATTTACTTTTAATGCATTGACATATTTTATATATTGACAAATAATATTTATTATTATTATGAAATAGTTAATTGAGAATTAAATTTCATTTCATCATTAGTAGAACAAATCCGATGCACTATATGAATTGCAGGAATCTCCTTTTATCAACTGAGTAATATTGCATAACTCTTTAATAATATATTTATTATCGATAATTGTTTAATTTAAACGAATTTTCGTTACAGTTATTTATAAGAGTAGTACGTGAATTACGTAAGCTTACTAGAAATTATATTGTGAAATGTAAGCCATTGAATAAGCTTCAAGTTTGTAAAAAACATTTGTTATACAAATGACGAAGTGTTTTTACGTGAAAATAAATCAATAAGATATGTATATATTTAATTAGTCTAATTATTTATAATATAAATCTGTTTCATTCCATTAGGATTTACAATATTATTTATATTTAAATAATATAATACAGTCTTTAAGATAAATTATGTCGTTAAAAATTTGTAACAATAATTTTTTTTTTTTTTACATAACTTTTACAACGAGTAACGTTATATTATTCAGTTGATGTGAAATGTATTTCCACTTTTCGAGAGTAATTAGAATATAAGTATTACTAACCACTATAGTATTATATTAACAAATAATATGACAGCTTAGTAGATTAAAAAATAAAATGATTGTTATAATGAGTAAAATCGATTTAAAATTATCGTGAGCTTGGACAATAATTTTAAAAGTATAAGAATATGTGTTGTATCGATCAGGGTTGAAACTTTGAAACTGTGTGATTGTCATGTTAATCGAACATAAATTGCTTATGACGTAACTAATTGGAGCATGGGTACGTACTTTCAGGAATAGCAGCGAGAGATTCGGAGTTATTCGGAGCTTCGTCGCGACGAGAAGTGGACTCTTACGATGGCATAATTACCAGCAAAACGATGAAAATCAAGACGAACCGTGAGTGTTTAGCCGATTAGCAATATCGCTTGCTCGCTACGCCGTGAAAATCTCCCGTAAAAGTTTATGATGAATCTATGAGGATAGAAAGGTTCTCGAATCCCAACCCTCGATAGATCCTTTAAGGATCTTTTAAGGATAATCCAACATATTTAATTGCATATTCATAAATGCAATGCATAATGGTTGGGACATCTTTACCAATACAATCGCCACATGAAATAGCATAAAATAGCGATGCACTAATTTCGGATATAAGCGGTTAATTTATATGAAAAGCTTATAGATTTATTTACCATTTTGTTTTAAACAGGGAATTCGCTGACACTTACAGGAGGGCCATGGATTCCACGTGGTACAAAAGAGCCGTCGATCAGCATGCGATCGAACCCGACAGTTTCGTTTTCAGTGTACCATTCGACGCGAGTAAGAGCCTTTGTTTTTTGTTTTTTTTTTTTTACAATTCATTCGGAAATCTTAATGTGGATTGAAATATCCAAGATTAGATGAAATAGTTTAACGTACATCATATTCTTTTATGAACGCTAACAATAATAGTTGCAGTATTTTTTTTTTTTTTTTTTTTTTTTTTTTTTTTTTTGGTAATCTTGGATAAAGTTATTGTGCTGTAATCGTGCACGTGGTCACTGTAATTTTTTTTTTTTTTTAAGTTGTAATTATTCTATTTAAGGAGTTTAAAATGAGAAAATTGAATTTATATTGCAGATAAAATATCTTTCGCGAACGTATTCTCCACATTTTGTTTCTTTGTAATTACTTTTACCGAATATATGTATATTATTGACTAACTAAATTTCAAAGATAAACAGTTAAAAAGTTTAATAAGAAATTGGCGAATGATGAATTTTTTTTTTTTGTTTTTTTGTTTTCGTTTGATTTCCTTTCAATATGTACTTTATAATTTACTTGATTAGTTATATATGCATTCGATTCAAGATAATACCATTAGACTCTTACATTGTTCATTGGCATTTTTAGTTGAAAATCCAAGACCCATCGTGACAGCGACTCACGCGATTTTCGTGGAAACAAAGGGCCATAAAGCTCCAGCTGCTGTCGTAGGAATACAATTTCGTCATGCAGCTTTGGCCTCACATTTCGTGAATGTTACATCTTCGGTAAGTGATGTCAATAGTGCAGGAATATTAATTTTTTTTTCAGACGCGTCATCAATATTTACTCGATTCACATTTTTATAATCTCTGGTTAATGACAATAAATCAATATTTAACGGAATCGAAAATTTTATACAATACATAAATAGAATATACTTCATGCGCGTACATAAAATACTCAGATAATATAATAAAAATCTTAATAAATTATGAATGAAGATTGTTATGATTATTAATTATTTAATTGTAGTGTTTTGGAACTGACGTTTGCAAAAAGAACTGCGCTTCGGATGAATTAGACTGTTACATCTTGGACAATAATGGTTTTACCATCTTTAGTGAAAAGCACGAACACACTGGAAAATTTTTCGGAGATATTGACGGGACAATAATGGATTCTTTAGTTCAGGATAAGATATTTAGGTGATAAAAGCAATTAAACACAAGCTATTACCGCTAAGAATGACAACAACGAAATATGCTTATCAACCCATGCATTCTTTTAAATTTACAGGAAAGTCAGTGTTGTAGATTATCAAGGAATATGCTCTCCGCAATCATCCCGTGTCTCTGCCGCGCCAAAAGTATGGTCTTATTCAATCATAAAAATAATGGCAGCATTGGGTAACTTTTTATGGACTTGGATTGTAAACTTGAACTTTGTGGATGTGCTTCGACCTGTATGGGCATACGCATATAACTTGGAGAGTGATGGTAACGTTAAAAATAAGCTTGCTTTTTTCTTTTTTTTTCTTTTTTTTTTTTTAAATAGTTGGAGGTCCATTTTAAAAAAAAAATTATACGCTTCGGGCGATATTTGCAAAATTTGAATGAATATCAACATTATAACGTACAACAAGTAGATAACTAAAGTTGGTATAATTTATCATTGTCCATCGTAATAATACATTCTCGGATAATATGTGCTAAGGAACAATATAATTATTCGAAAGTCTTATCAAATTGTCCACAACAAGTATTACAAGGTTATATTTTAATTATTTAAAATCAGAAACTTGATTGTCAAATATAGCTCTAGTCTTGGGTATTTTTATCCTTATCTTCAAAGATAAATTACGAATGACACGCTTGATTATCAGTTTTACAATGGCACGGGCAAGCAGTCTACAATTGTTATTAAAATTATTTGGGCAGATAACGTAGTGTACACAGATGGGGATCCTTACCCACCGGATTTGATGGACGAGGTAACGGTGGAGAACGTACCATCATATCCGCCGGTGCTGCAGCCACCCATGGCACCAGTTGCTACGACCTACTCGACAACAACGAACTTACCACCCCATAAGCTGCGCACTTGCGAAAAGAAGACGGACCTTTACATTTTGCAAGCTGACAGGTTAAATTCCAGCGGACAGGGCAATCCGCTGAAAGGAAAACTGACTAACTGCAATGTATCTGGTTGTGAACGGTAATGAAGCTGTGAACTGTAAAATAATGTTCATATGAAAAGATGTTAAGGTGCTTTATTGCAATGTCTCGTACTAAATGTCATTCTACTTTATACTCAACATCTTTATTTTTGAGTTTTTAAAAAAAAAAATTATTAATCTAGATGGGCAGAAATTAATCTTAAATTACATTTACTATTCTATTGGGTTGTTATGAAATTATTACATTATAAGGAATTCAGGTTAATACGAGAAGAAATCAAGTAAATAATATATTCAAGAATCCTATAAGAGACTATGACAATTTCATTGAATTTTCTTCATAGTCAAAACGTTTAAATAATGCATATGCTAATTATTATACTATTATCGAGTCAAGTTTTATGAAAAAAAAAAAAAAAAAAAAAAAAAAAAAAAAAAAAAAAAAAAAAAAAAAAAAAGATAAACCGTAGGATTTTTTGTATTTGGTATAATATGCTTTGATCAATCAAAACTAAAAAAGAAAGTGTTAATGTTGATTTACAACCGACATAATGCAACATTTTCAAGTTTCGTTTTCGATTTTAGGCCCTTCAGCGTGCAGAAAATTAGCTACACAAACCTCATACTTCTCGTCGTGGATACACTTTGTCCCTGCGGTGATAAAAAGCTCGGCATCAGGCCTTATGAAGCATTAACTGACGCTGGTGCTTGTATGGCGCGACGCGAGCGACTTTACCGACGCAAACCCACGAAATGCATCAACTATCATCCCGAGGAGCTGGAAATCAAAGTTTGCGATGGTGTTGGAAGAATAGTTGGTCTTCGTATGGGGCTGCTTCTGATTTGTCTATTCCTCATTCATTTTACGTGACTTAATGGTCAATAAGCATCGACGATATCATCAATCGATAAAACGAAGAAAAAAGAGAAATTATACGCATTTGGAAAGTGAGGATAACGAGTATCTTAAGCAACCAGTTTCGCTATAAAATAGCGAAAATCACTTGACTGTTAAAATAAGAGTTAATGTGGAAGGTTTGATCAATTACTAGCCGAGCAAGTATCATTTTTTGTTTTGTTTCTTATTCTTTAGCTCGAAGTAGGCGTAAAGATTTAAAGCAATAATTCATATTATTTTCTAAAAAAAAAAAATGGGTTAAAAATTATTTTTACAAAAAATTTGTTGCCCTTTCTTATCTTTGATTTGGAAGTAATATTTTTAAATATTAAATTGAAAAAATATTTCGTACAAAAAAGTAATTCGATTAATCGCTTTAATTGCATATCATATATATATATATATATATATATATATCTTCAAACAAACGAGTTTAGAATTATATTAAATTAATAATTTAATTAGAATGGAATAGATAAACCGTTACTTTTCCAACTGCGTAAGCGTTAATGGTAAATAAAAAAATATTCAGCGAGAAAAGTGCAAATTAATATCACGTATATACATCGAGATGGTTTTTTGTTATGAAAAAAACAAAAAAAAAAAAAAAAAAAAAAAATTGCGAAGCAATAGCGTTTGAAAATAAAAAATGAAACGACAAAATGCTTGCGGCTATCTGTTCAAGTATTCAAAGAAAAGAAAGAGAAAAGAAACCTATTTTTTGCAAATTCTTTCTTTTAGAAAATTCATGAAAATGAAAGAAAGAGAGAGCGAGAGAGAGAGAGAGAGAGAGCTAAAAGAAAAAGTATATGGGGAATATTAACATATAGAATATAATAATATACTTTTTTGCGAGTTTCTGGCTTTGACATACGTAATTGAAAAGTAATAGTTTTCTCCACCAAGAAGAATAACGGAAATAATAAAAACAACAATGTGGGATATTTCTTCAGGCTAGTAGACAACAGCTGAATAAATCAATGAGAAATAATCCATATGATTTCGATAAACAAGAGAGAGTGACAGAGAGAGAGAGAGAGAGAGAGAGAGAGAGAGAGAGAGAGAGAGAGAAAGAGAGCGAAAGAAAAGTATCGAAAAGTAAAAATTGTATTCTGGCGCTGGTAGCCAGTTAAATAAGAGCTTACTTCGTTTTTAACATAAGGACGAACTAAATCATTAATACGAAGTATAAATATGGAAAAACTCCTGAACTAACAAAGGCAGAAAAATAATGGGGAATAAAAGAAAACGCGCACACAAATTTCACTATCGATTTAAACAAGTTTTCGTAGGTCATAAAGGATTAAATTGAAGAGAAAAAAAAAACAAAATTAACGCAGTATAACTACGGATCTATCAAGACGTTGGATATAGGCATTTTCCGTACTCGATTGGGTGACGGATTGTTCGCGATTAAACATTATGAATGAGTAATTCCGCACAGACGTGAGAGCCCGTCCACAAGAAAATAATTAACTGCGCAATATGCGCAATGTTGATATTTCGTTTATGGCACTATAATAAATACGATTATGCTTAAGCTGTTTAATGCACCGGTCACACGCAGCACAGAATGTGTGCGAGTTAAATTCATATATTGCATGTGCGAAGCAGAAATTCATTTGATTTTATACATATCAAATCAATCAAAGTGTATGGATTTTAATGAACACATGAATCCATCGATATATCCTCTTAACTAAATTACTAGCATATCAACAATCATTATGAATTAACATAAATTGCTTCGCCATATTATGTATTAATTTTATTACAAGTAAAAATAATTTGAGAAATATATATATATATATATTTAAGTTTTACGCTAAAATATATATATATATATACGGGCGCGCGCGCGCGCGCGCACACACACACACACACACACACACACAGTTATTAATTGCATTCAATTCAATTCAATAGTAATCATATCAACGATTCTACCGATGCTTCGAATGAATTCTCCATAGATATTTCATATTTTTTCTACAATTTAAAAGAATTATTTTAACAATTTATTGAAATTTTTATCGTGTAAAATTGCGCATATAATAACACACCATTACTACAATATTTTTCTTTCTCACGTTTGCCGAAATAATTTGTAAAAAAACGAAAACAAAACAAAACAAAACAAAATAACGGGAACAAAGCTTTAACGATTTATTAAACTTTAATTGAGCAGATTTACCGTTACAAAATTAATACGGAAACCGGAAATCCATGTACGTAATATCACATAGTGAGTCGTGCAAATTATCGCAAGAAAATAATGAAAATATAACTTTAAAGGAAAACAAGCGAAAATACAGCAATAATACAAGCTATATTGTTCACACATCTAACCGTAAAATAACACAGGTGCCTTCGAGTTTGATTTGGAAAAAAAGGAATAATAATAAATTAATGTATCAAACGTCTGACGCGAAAAATCGTGAAAAACTCATCGAGCGGATAAAGGGAAACAAAACAAGCAAAAAGCATAAACAGACTAGAAAGAAGCTTACGTAAAAAATGAACAAATGAAAACAAAGTCTAGACTCTTGGAAAGTACTTAATAGCAACAATTTTCAATAAAAGACGCAATGTGAAGTCAGTAAAACTGATAAACTTAAAAGCGCCTTTAAAAGAAAACGAAAAACAAAAAATAATAAATGGATAAAAGAATGATAAGAGAACTTTTGTGAAAAAGCGCGATGCGAGGATCCTAATAATGTTTCCATATTTCGTGTGTAATTCTGTGTGCGTGCGTGTAAACAAGTACGTGGATGAAAAACTATAATTGGCAAAAATTATGCAGCAAGAGAAGATGATTCTCCGATCTTTAAAACTGTAATGACTCATCCAGTCGAATAATGATTCGCAGATAAAATCATTCCCCCCTTGTTCGGCGATCGCGAAGAAAAATTCATAGAATTTAGTTGAGAAAGCATGGATACCGAGGAAGTACGTAGATTTTCTGGAGTTGTTTTTATTTTTTTAAAATAATATATTATACAATAATTCATTAACCATGTTGACAATATACGGATACACGCGCATGCGCACACATAAATAACTATTTATTATACACAATATATGCATAGGTATATACATATCCACGTATGCATATCAATAAACTTTTGACTTTATATTTATGTGTGTTTATACGCAGCATCCGCATTCTTATCAAGTTTAGTCCGATTTTAAGCTCTTATTGATCGCGTTAAAATTTAAACTTTAGTACGAGATGCCGATAAAGTCGACGAAACAAACAAATATTAATGTAGTAATCTTGAATCTTTAAGCTAGTAAATAATTATAAAAGATAATCACTGTTATCTTCCTGTTTTTTCATTTTAAATGTTGAAAACTCTCTAGTATAATTGTATAACGAAGACGAAACCTTCAACTTATCTAAAATCATGTGAATCCTCTTGCAAAAATTCTCGGCAAACACTCATATAATGATAAACCAAGTTTCTTTATGTATAATATAAGAAATTAAAAAAGACCCTTGGCAAACATGAATTCCTTTCTTTTCTTTCATTTATACTATAAATAAGGATAATTAATTCATTAAAAAAAAAAAAAAAAAAAAAAAAAAAAGATAGAACGTGAATTAGTTTTATTTTATTGGTTAATCACTTAGTTGTTAATCTTGCGATGTGATATAAATTGTTGTCCTAATTAGAAATGAGGAAATTAGAATAGTGTTGAAAATTTAATTCGATAAAAATTTTATTTCTTGTTATAATAAAATTTTAATAAGATTTTATATAAGATTATTCAATTTAGCATGAATCATTATATTAGAATTTAAATATTAAAGTAATTTCTGTAACAATCATATTTTACATATATTATTACATTAATCTTGTGCATATTTTATATGTAGAACATATATAGATGAAAAAAATAAAAAATAATAATAATAAATTTGAGAAGACATAAATTAGCCAAGTTCTTTCTTCACTTGATAAGAAATTAAATAATTTATTTATATGATTGTATAATAACATTGCTCACATATCGTTTATATAAGGTAGTTTATACAAAATTCTGTACAACTAATTTGTATTTTAAGTAAAAGTCAAGCATTTAAACAAATCGTGTTACATATTAGATCTATTTATGTCAACTTCCTGTTATATAAACATATATAACATAAATCTAAAAAACGTGCAAATATAAAGTATAAAATCGATACGATTTTTATTATTCTATAAAAAATATAGAACCAAACATTTTTTAATATTATTTTTCTTATAGCGACAAGTAATCTTATATTGTAAAGTTACTAGAAAACTTTATACTATTTTTCGTGCGTATAAATATAAAAAATTATTGTCAGGTTTGCTAGGGGTCGAATTCATTGCATCGGCATAATAATAATTAAAAAAAAAAAAAATAATAAAAAAATAAAAAAGAATAAACGCAGGTGGAAACAATAAAATAATACAATTTGCCCGAAAAAATGAGGCGATGATAAATAAAAAAAAAAACAAATTATATTATTGAACGATATACAATCTAGATGCATAATATTTAATTGTTGAAAGATACAGGAGAATAAGGTATAAAGAGACAGTGAGAAAAAGAGAGCATGTATGCATGCGGGAGAGAGAGAGAGAGAGAGAGAGAGAGAGAGAGAGAGAGACAAAATTACGAACCTTGCAGACAATACAGCACATTATTAAAATTTGTACTTTGTGACGGAACTTGCAAAGTTCCACTAAGCTACTTTATAGTATAAAAAGTATATATATTATATACATAATTAATATATATTATATAGATATTAAAGTTACTGTTGTTATGCTCATTATTAATATCGCGTTTATTATATCGAATTTTTTCATAAAATTGAAACGTTTTACCGTATCTTTTAAAACTTAAATAGACAAAAGTCTCATGTGTCAATGACTGGTGAATAAAAGCGATGAATAAACAATGAGTCCATATTATTATTGACACTGTAAACGTGTTCTCGCATCGCCCTCGAGTTTATAGAAAAAAAATAAAAATAAATAAATAAATATATAAAATAATGAATAAAGATTTAAATGCAAAAATGCGTTGTAAGAAAGAAAAAAATAGTTGAGTAATCATAAAAATAAAAAAAAAAATAAAGAAGAAGAAATAAATAAATAAACCAGAGAGAATTTACAAGGATGGCAAAA